TACTAAAGACAAAAATCTGGACCCTGGAGCCCACTTTGGACCTCACCATTAGGTGTCTGGTTACTGATGTGCTGAGCACTCCGTGTGGGAACACGGTCTTAACCACCAAGCGGCCCCACAGCATGGAGAAGCAAGACTCTTGTAAGAGCCTGGAGTTTTTATGTTCATCCCCATAGCATGGCCAGAGAAAGAATGGGTGTCACCTAAATGGCAGAGGAGATGGGAAACAGGCACAGAGACATGGCTGAGAGCTCAAGTTCTGATGGCAGGTTGCTGGCCCAAATCCCGTGTCCATTTTTTTGAGCTGTGACCGTGACCACCTTGCTTCCTTCCCCAAGCCTCAGGTTTCCCCCTTGTAACACAAGGGCTAACTGAGATAACCCACACAGCCTGCTGAGCAGAGTGCTTGGCACAGAGGAAGCACTTCAAATAACTGTCAGTTGGTAGTAATTTGGTGTTTTGTTTTTAGAGAAGAGCCAGTTGGATCTGAAATCAGATCTTTGTTTTGTTTTTGTTTTTTTTTTTAAGATTTTATTTATTTATTTGACAGACAGAGCTCACAAGTAGGCAGAGAGGCAGGCAGAGAGAGAAGAGGAAGCAGGCTCCCCATGGAGCAGAGAGCCAATCAGATCTTTGTTTTGTAAAACTACAAAATCATCAAAAGATGATATTAACCAATATTTTACTTAGTCTGCTTTGAATCATTGGTATTGATTTAAAATTTGATTTAAAATTTAAAATGTGATGATGGCTGTCTGGTTATCAGACTATTGTCTCTCAGCCCTGAATCTACTCTTTTTATGATGGGGTCTATGAGGTTGGGGCTGGGACAGCACCAATGCCATTTCTCCTGGTCAGGTCGCTCTGTGCTAGGCTCTACCAGTAGGGGGCACTAGAGGGACACTGCAAGGCTTGACAAAGGGGCAGGTTTTGATCCTTTTGGATGGCTTGCTGATAACTCCTCATCTTCTCAGTAATGGTTTTTCACTCTGGCCACAGCTGCTGGTTCCACTCTGCAACATTTTTAAAAAACGATTTAAGTTATTTATTTTGAGAGAGAGAGAAAGAGAGAATGAGAGCATGAGCAGGGGGAGGGGCAGAGGGAGAAACAGACTCCCTGCTGAACAGGAAGCCTGACATGGGGCTTGATCCTAGGACCCATGAGATCATTACCTGAGCCAAAATCGAGTGCATTGCATAACTAAGCCACTCAGACCCCCCTTCTTCCTCCTCTTCCTCCTCCTCTTCTTCTTCTTCTTCTTCTTCTTCTTCTTCCTCCTCCTCCTCCTCTTCCTCCTCCTCCTCCTCTTCCTCCTCCTCCTCCTCCTCCTCCTCCTCCTCCTCCTCCTCCTCCTCCTCCTTTTTTTGGTACAACCAGGCATATCTTCATCATGTCCTTCAGAGATACCAACACCAGCCAGACACGTGTCCTTTTCAGGGGTCTGAGTCTTCCTGTGACATACAGGGCAGCATCCCCTCCTCAGAGATCTGTTGTCACATCTCCACGGAGACTCCCTGCTCCATGTGTAAGATTCCAGTAATCTCAACTCAACCTCTTTGTCCCCACATTCCTAGAGGCAGGCCTTGCTCCCTGCAGTCACTCTCTGATTTATCTCAATGTCCTTTTGCTTTTCAATCTTCAAACCTGCCTGTCAAACCAGTCCCTTATATTAAATTCTTTTTGTTGAAATACCTAGTGTGTTTTCCGTTTTCATAACTGGACCCCGACTGATACACTGTTCAATTAAAGTGAGGCATAGGAGATGAGGACCCACTACACTTCTGGAGCATACTCTTTCTAGAAGGAACTCTGACAAAAAAAATCTTTAAGATATCCAAATCCCCTGAACCAGCATTTTCATTTTGTTAGGAAAGACAAATAAATATGAACGCACTAAGATGTTTATTGCAACCTTTTGCAGAGAAAACTTAAAACAACATAAATGTCCAATCACAGCGGGGGCGAGGGTGATAAAGTATAAGAGGATATTGTGTAGCCACTAAAATCACGTTATGAGAAAATACTTTAAAACATGGGTAGGGTGCGTAGGTGGCTCAGTGGGTTACCGCCTCTGCCTTTGGCTCAGGTCATGATCTCAGGGTCCTGGCATCCAGTCCCGCATCTGGGCTCTCTGCTCAGCAGGGAGCCTGCTTCCTTCACTCTTTCTCTGCCTGCCTCTCTGCCTACTTGTGATCTCTCTCTGTCAAATAAATAAATAAAATCTTAAAAAAAGATATGGAGACTCTCCAACCACAACCTAAAAAAAAAAAGGGTAAATGGGGGGGCCTGGATGGCTCAGCCATTAAGCATCTTTCTTCAGCTCAGGTCATGATCCCAGGGCCCTGGAATGGAGCCCCACATCGGGCTCCCTGCTCAGCAGAAAGCATGCTTTTCCCTCTCCCACTTCCCTTGCTTGTGTTCCCTCTCTCGCTGTGGCTCTCTCTGTCAACTAAATAAATAAAATCTTAAAAAGAAAATAAAACATAGGTAAATGTTTGCAATCTGATAATTGTAAAATCAGCGTACAAAATTGGAGTTACTATGTGGCATCAGTTTTGACAAAGAAGACTAGGAAAATATATGGTCAGCCTGATATAATGGTAGATCTCGCTGCTTGTCAGTTTGTACGATTTCTGTTTTCGTCTTTGTGCTTTTCTGTATTTTACAAATTTTCTGTAATAAACATAAATCATATTTTCCACCACAAAAACAAAGGACTTAAAAAAATTACCTTGCATTAACACCATGTGGCTTTAGTGGAAGCTGTGATTCAAAGGTAGTGAGGTGGCTCTGAGTAAGGTAAATCACAGGTAAACATGTTTTCTCATAATTACAGCACAGGGCTGAGTGACAAACCCCTTTATATTTTACATGAAAGTCCTGTCTCACTCCCAGGCAAGACTCCACTGAGGAATGGGAGGGACTGTGTAATTCTGCCTGGTTTATGTAACTTACCGGAGCTGACTCTGGGGAGGAAATCTGTGGCTTCTAGGTCCTTTTTCCTGCCTCTGGGGGTCCTTTTCAGTGGTATCACGTGACCTGTGCTAGGATGACAGCTATGAGAGCTGAAGCCATTATCGTGGCTTGGGGAAGGGAGGTGTGAGACTCCTTAGCCTCACCTTGAAACGGGTCTGAGTATACTGACGTCTCATTGTTATTTCAGGAATTAAACTGAATTGTGCTCGTAGTAAAAGTGCCTGGAAAATCATGAACCATTGTACAAAGGTCAGTTGTTCTTGTTATTCTCATTGGCACTGCAGCTAATGGCAGGAATTGATTAATTTCCTCTTACTGAGCCATCATTTTCTGGAGCTGTTTGCACCAGATGTTGAGCACACCCTTGGTCCGGTATATGGGTCAATCAGCCCCAAATCTCTGTGGCTTAGCACAACAAAAGTTTATTTTCTCTCTTGCTACTTTTTGGTAGAGGGTTTTTCTTCACTCAAGACTCAGGCTGATGGAAGCTTTTCATCGTTTTGTGCCTGTACTGTCTGGACAGGATGAAATTTTCTTAGTCACCATGGCAGAGAAGAGGGCGTTGGGGGGTGTTGCATCAGCAAATAAGTTCTTTGTCTCAAAAATGGTACATATGACTGCTGGTCATAGCCCATTGGTCAGAACTAATGTCCTACCTCAATGCATAAGGGCTTGGAAATGCAGGGGAACCCTGGGAATTTGGATTTGGGGGGAGCATTCCTGTTCCTGCTATGCCCAGGATCAAGCTAAGAAGCTAAGTGCTCATTGATGGTTCTGGAGATGCCCAGTCAATGGATGTTACTGCATCTACACTAAAGCCATGGCAGAGATTAAGGAGGACCAGAGCCTTGCACTTCCTAGAGGAGAAGCTCAAGAGAAGGACCACACTGTCCAGTAGTCAGACCGTTCTTGGACCTCCTAAGAATTCTAACCTATTGGTGTGGTCCTGGGGACAAGAAGATTTGATCTCTCTGAAATTACCTCCATACTAACTGTTCCACCTTTCAAGCAGTATATTAGAGGAGAAAGTCCTTTATCACATGTCAAAGTCTATCCTAAATTTGGGTCAGGTGCCCTCCCTGCTCGAAATCTTCTGTGCCTCTTCCCATGAGAGCATGGGTCACTCTGTATTGCAGTGCTCTAATCCCCTGTGTGTACCTCCTGTTGGGGCAGGACTCATGTATGTTGTATTCACATCAGAATTCCCAGCTCCTAACACAACACCTTGTATAGTAGACACCAATTAAAGGAGAAGAAGCTAGAGACCAAATGTAAGTTGATATTATTATTACTATTATTAAGCTTCTATGCTGTTTGGGTAACTGCTATGTGAATCTTCTGCCATGACCACCCTTTTCCACCCTACCCATTCCTAATTAAATGTCTCTTCAGTATGAGCAAGTATAATACAATTTTTAAGGAGCCAGACTACCTGAATTCAACACGCAGAGATTTATGAACTGTGTGACCTTGGGCAAGTTACTAAGCCTCTCTATGGCTCAATTCCCTCATCTGTGCAATGGGGATTATAATGATTTCTATCATATAAGTGGTCAGGAGGACTAGATAACCACTTCAAAGAGTATTGGCATGCAAGAAGTTTTCAGAAGTATTCACTGTTCCTGTAACAGCCCACCCTTCTTGTTCCCCTTCCCTCCTCTGTCCCTTGCTGTCCTTCCCCTGAATCCCTCTATACTTGAGAGGTATTTTCTCAGAGTACTTCCCACTGGCCTTTTGATGTCCCTAGACTCTACCAAAAGTGGTATCAGATCTCAAAGAGACTAAAGGAGTGCCTGCCATAATTCCCAACATGGGTTCCGAGGAACACTAGTCTCATGAAGTGTTCTAGGCCAAACAAAAAGTTCTGTAGTGAATTAAGTTTAAGAAAGCCAGACAAACTTTATACAATTTGTGTTAGAATGCGAACGTTTTTGAGAAAACCTTGCGATCAAGAAACCTTTTAAATTTTGTTTAGCCCCATGTATTCCCAACTCACTTGTGTTTTTGTTTGTTTGTTCTCTAGAACACTTGCAGCATCTTGTTGAACACAACAAGCGTTGATGACTACATATGCACTAAGCCTGGGGGCCTGGAGTTAGGCCTGGTAACCGCCTGCCACTCACCAGGTATGTGATCTTGTGCTAGTCGCTTAACCCATGGGATTCTCAGCCTCCGATTTGTAAAATGACAATTATGATACCAACTTTATTGCACTGTAAGTGAGGAATAAGGGAACATAAACATGCTCGCCTGGCCTACTGGGGCTAGTCCCTATTCTACTCTTGGTTTCACCCTGCCTCTCCCAGGGACTGGTGGACATGGCTGTTGCTCGGCTTGGGTAGGCAGGGCCAGACTGCCGGAAGGAATACACCTGGTCATTGACTGCCGTTGTCACACTCCTAGGCAATGCTGCCCTTCTTAGCTTAATGTTGACTTGTTCCTCCATTTTGGATAATACTTGGTCTCCTTATGATCCTTCTTAGAGACCTTTATGAGTGTGAGCGTATGGGGCGGGAAAGAAGGGAGAAGGTGGTTTGGTGGGAAAGTGGGCCTCTTCTCCTCAACATTATTTTTATCCCTAGCGGTCCCGTTGCTCTGTTTTTGTAATTTAGAAGAAGTCAGTTTGTGAGAGAAAACTTCTGCTTCCGGTAGTTTTATTTTCTTTTATATATCAGATACCTTGTATCACCTACTCATTTCAGCTGTAGGACTGGGAACTCTGCCATCCCCAAATGTGCGGCAGGGTTTTGTTTTGGTTTGGTTTTTTACCGAGCACCAGTTTCCTCTGCCACCTCAACAGCTGTGTCGGTTCTTGGCAGCAGATGTCTTCTGGAGCTTCAGAGAGCCTCCTTGGAAAAATCTGTAGCGCTCCCTGAATGACAAAAGTCTTAGAAAATGTGCTTCTTGCCCCTGAGAAGCAATCTGTAGCTTAGGTAGTACAAGGAAACTCCATATTTCAGTTATGATTTGGGATTTCACCTTTGTCTACAAGGTGAGAAAGGATGGAAAGAACAAGGAAATTGGTGGAAAAAACAGCTTATTTGTGCTAATATTTATTCAGAAATGTTTATTAAACTCCAGCTGTGCACAAGATGGTGGGTGAAAGCATGAGTAACCAGCATGGAGAGAGAAAGCACAGGTGCTTGCCTCAATGGAGAGTTTAAAAGAGAGTTGGAATTTTATTTGCAAAGAATTGGGAGCCATTTGAGCAAAGGGAAAATGCAACAAAATGGTGCCTTAGGAAAATTAGTCAGGCAATAATGAGTGGATGGATGGAAGGGAAGAAATTAGGAGACATCATGATAATCTAGGCATGAGGTAATCAAAGACTGAACTGGGGAAGCCTAAGGAAGTCTGTACAGAGTCTGAAGGGAGAGCAACAGGAGCTGATGACTGCAACTTTGGCCACTGGATGGGGTGACCGGGGTCACTAATGGCCCCTGGACACCTGGTGAGAAGTCCTCTGGTACCGCCAGTCCCCAGATGATTTCCAAGTCTTTATCTCCAGCCCATTCCTCTCTCTTGAGTGCCAGGCCCATTTAGGTTCCTCTTACAGGTCTTACTCAAAGTGTCTAAAACAAAACTACGAGCCCACACTCCCCAAACTTCTCCTTCATTTCTTCCCCAGATCCTTCCCATCATCTCCTTGTCACTTGATGGTATTTCTGAGATAACCAGTAACATCTCTGTCCCCTCTGCATGACACACCAGCATTAAGGACAGGGGGTAGATAGTCACCCAGGATGAATGTTAGACAGCTGACTGGCAAAGTTCCAGAACATTTAGCCTTTGGCTTTCATCAGCAGGCACTGGCTGGCTCCACCATGCCACCATGACACCATCTGAATCACTAGATGAGCTTCATTTCTGTAAACAGGAGAGTGGAGCTTGGTTCTTTAGCTCCTACCTTTGGGACACTTAAAAGGTCATTGAGAACTTTTACAATATCATCACATTATGATGATGGAGTAGCCATCATGGTCCTCTGGAAAGGTGTCAGGCTTTATGAAGGCCTTCAATGGCCATCCTCACATTCATTCTTCAGAGAACCTGGAGGACATTGAAGCTGCCCCTCTTCCAGTCTCCTGCTGGCAGAATTCAAGGAAGGGAGGGGAGAGGCCAGAATGATGCTCACAGAGGATGGAGCCTGCCATTCCAGTTGAGGAGGGAGGTGCCAGATCGCTGAGAGCGCTGAACGCTGACGCTGAAGTTGGAACCAGGAAGCTGGGAGAGCTTCTGAGCAGGACAGTGGCAGGAGCAAGTGAGCCCAGCAGTGAGGTGTAGAGCATCAGAGGGGACTCCTCAGACATGTGGAGATCCAGAGCTCCGACTCCAGCTGTGAGACCACCGCAGTCAGTCAGTAGAGAGCTGATGAAAGCCGAAACTGGGGCCATTCATTCATTCATTCATTCACCAATATTTATTGCTTGGCTACTCTGTTCTAGGAACTCTTCTACTCAATAAAAGAACAGAGTCAATAAGTCAGAGTATCCTGATCTCATGGGATTTACATCCTATTAAAGAGAAACAGACAATACATACAATTAATAATGAACTAGAGTAGGCCAGATGGTGCTAAGTGCTATGGAAAGACTCGAGTGGGTAGAGGGGGCAGTAGGGGTGGCAGTTTTATCTAGGACTATCAGAAGGCCTCACTGAGGAGGTGACATTTGGGCAAAGACTTGAAAGAAGCTAATGGCAGTGGGGCTGGGGACTGTGGGCAAATGGGACAGAAGGAGGCAAATCAGGAAGGAACAACTTTGAAAAGAAAGAATCTGGAATCATTTAGACAGAGAACTGGAGGACAATAGGATCACAGCCAAAACTGTAAATGGGTAGAATTAAACCAAATTTGAAGTGTGTTTGGCGTTTATGGTTTGAAAAGAATCAGTTGAAGAGTTCAGTAATTCTTTATCAGATTTTACGGGGCCAATTCTATGCTTTAACAGTATTTATAAATCTAGGGATTTGAGGTGGTCTCAGGTCAGAGGAGTGGAGAAGCAGAGGCTGATGTTAGCAGAATGCTCCAAATTCCCGGTTGCTCCTCATCCCTTAGGAATGGACTGTTCCTCCCTCCTGCTGTAAACATTACTACGGTCACAGATGTCCCTGCCATGGCTGCTTGCTATGCTGCCTACAGCTCCCTTTCAGGTCTGAGGCACATGTTTCCTCCCCTGCAGGGAGTGCTTCGAGCTGGTGGCTCCCTGCCAAAGGGAGCCACCTGGCCTAAGGGCAGAACCCTCCCTGGGGGACAGCCACATCGTTACTGGTGGTGGGGTGCAGGGCCAGTTATGAAGGCCAGACCATCTTGTTTCAAGGGATGACAACTCTGAAGTCATCCCCAATGCCCCCAGCTCCAGAGCATACTATGGGATCAGCTGAGGCCTGGGTTCTGTCTACACTGTGGAACAACTGTCCCCTCTACTTGGGTCACTTCCTTCACCCCCAGCAGCTGTTGATCCCACCGGCATCCCTGACAGGCTTCCGGTACACAAACCCTCATTTCAGGATCTTACAAACTTGTCCTAAGAACACGCATTTGACACTTAACCTATTTTGATTGTCTTCTAACTACCTTTCTTTAAGATAAGCAGTGCTTATCTTCCTACCGAGGTTATAACCTTCTCCACGATCAGGAGAACACCCTTGACCTCTTTGTATATCCCAGGGGGTGTAGAACTTGTGGGATAGGTGACAGTCCCTAATGACAGGCTTAAGAAGCTTTCTTCTTCCATCCAGAGAAGCCAGTGAGAACTGGTGCACAGAAGAGAATAGCTCAGGCCCACAAATGTTTGTGCCAAACCATTTCTCTAAAGCTGGTTTTGCTGGGGATGCAGCCAAAACCCTTTTATTCCCTGCCAGGAAGTGAAAGTCTTTTATCACCACCTGGGAGGAAAAAGGGGTTCAACCGCTCAGCCTTAGTAGAAACAATCTCACATTGGTGAATAGGGGATAAAACTCAGTCCTGGGTGCAACAACTTTGAGAAATTTATACTGAATGTGTATTTCTCAAAGAGAATAATTTAGGGAGAGAGTGGCAGGCACTCACTTTTGCCATGTTAACCTTTCTTCATGAAAGTTTGTGAGCAATTGTTTACTTTCTAAAAATAACAGAAAATTTTATATTCAATATTTTTAAATTATGGAGACTATAGTTCAGCTTTGAGTTATATGCTAAGTGATGTGATTATATTTGACCAAAGTGTTTTAACTTGTATAAACTTTATGCTATTGTGGTGCAAAAGAGCCTGGTTCCTTTCAAAAATTTTCTGGGGTGGCAGGTTACTTAGTCTCAGAGGAAATAAACCTTTGTCTGAGCTCTTCTAAAAAAGGCAGAAGAGAGTCTGACCTAGAGAACTTCAGCTGGAGTTCGCCTCAGTTTGGGAGGAGGACACGGGGAGAGAACAGGGAAAGTTCCGGAAAAAATCCAAGAAAAGCCCGGCAGCTCTGAGAGGAAAATTCATTAAATTATGGATGTTAGAGTCTCCTGGGATACTAGGGCATGGTATGGTGGGTGTCTTAGTCAGTTTGGGCTGCTTATAATAAAAATACCATAGACTGGGCAGCTTAAAAAAAAAAAAACAACAAAAATTAATTTCTCACAGTTCTGGAGGCTAGAAAGTCTGATATCAAGGTGCTGACCAATACAGTTCCTGGTGAAAACCCAGTTCCTGGTTTGCGGATGGCTGCCTTCTCACTGTATCTTCACATGGCAGAGAGATCTTTAATATTTTTTCTTATAAGGATACTAGTCCCCTTCATGAGGGCTCCACCCACATGACCTAATGGCCACCCAAAGGCCCCCACTTCCAAATACCACCGTATCAGGGATTAGGGCTTTAGCATGTGAATTTTGAGGAGACACATTCAGTCCACAACAATGGGTAAAAAATAAAAATAAAACCAAAAAAACACTGTTTACTTGTTACATGCAAACATTGTTACATAAATATTTGTTCTCTACTGAGAACTTTGGTTCGTATCCCTGGCTATAGTAGAACTACCTGAGGTTTTTTTGTTTTTGTTTTTTTAAAGATTTACTTATTTATTTTAGAGAGGGGGGAGGGGCATGGGAGAGTCTTAAAGCAGAGTCTGCACTGAACATGGA